ATACTGAAAATTGAATTAGATTATTCAATTGGCATTAATAACCAATTAATTGAATATCGTAATTTTTTGTAAAAAAAAATCAGTAAATTTATTTTTCAACAGAAAATTAACACAAAACAAAAAAAAATTAAATAATAAGACTTACAAGCTTCTATGTTTTGCGAAAGAACAGAAAATCAGAAACGAAACATTCAAATAAAAAAATAAAAATCACTAAAGAAAAATTATAGACTTATCCATTTCGTATTTTCTAGCAAAACATGTGCATTTTTAGTTAAACAAAAGGAATTTATGTCCATCTATCGTTTAACAGAAACTACAACAAAGTTGTGATTCAAAAGTTGCCATGTTTCGTTCTCTCAGAGGAGATTATGGTGCATCAAATCCGCTAAATTTGAGCAGTTGCTGTTAAAATTTTGAATGAACCTGAAGAGAGAAAGAGAGGGAGAGAGAGAGAGAGAGAGAGAGAGAGAGAGAGAGAGAGAGAGAGAGAGAGAGAGAGTTAAAGATAAATTAGGACCTATGCGTCATCGTCTTTCTCAGTCCATTTCAAGTAACGCTGAATTGCGTATAAAAGAGGGGATTAACAAAGGTTCGGTAAGTTGGTCAGAAATAAAATTTATTTTTGTATTTATTCGTAATCTATATCATTATTTATCACCTACATAATAGCTATTGATTTCAATGCTTTTCTTAAGCCCACACATCCACTTATGAAAACAGACTTCAAAATACTGCTTTTTAAGCTTAGACCAGTATTAACTCAAACCAGAATGTCAGCCTCGAAATCCAGCGCAGTATCACTCTTGCCAACAGGTGCTACTTTGAACTGAATTGGCAATCGAACATAAAAAATTTCTGCTAGTCGCTCATCATACCCGTCCTAATATATCGCGCAGAAGCGTAATCGCTCCCGACATCCGATGAGCCAGCCCGAATGAAAGCGTTCCAAGTTAGGAATTATTCAATGCAATATCCAGCGGGGGAAGCAGAGAAAGAGGAAGGTCTGCACTCCATTATAAGACTCAGGTGGAGCGCTACATGGTTTCACTTGGTATTTCCAACTGGCGACAAATAGCGCAGAGAAGATGCGGCTTTTATGCGATCTAATCCAGTAAGTGGTACCCTCGCCAATGAAGAGTTAGAAGAAGAAGAATTTCACCTATCATGCCAAGGTTCAAAATTTGTCATAAATAAAATTTATGAAAGAAAAATATTTTCCGTGTTTTACTTTCGTTTATTTCCGAAACCTCAAAATTAATAATCCACTTCATCTGCATCGAAATATTTCATTTTCACTCTCTGGAGCCTTCTAAAACAGAATACAATATATTATTGTTCATATGATTTATGAATTCAGTTTTTTATTCACTCATCAGAGCTTTCCATAAACTTAGTTTGAAAAATAAATTTAATACCTTTCCAGTATTTTTTTTCTAACTTCCAATTGAACATTATTTTTTTTTTTGCTAAAAAAATTAAATTTTATTATTTGAGAGTACGAAATTTGCACATGACAAATCAATTGAAAATAAATTCGACTTTGGCATGACATGTTGAGCTGAAAACCTAAAAACGTCCATTTGTTGGCGCACTGTATCACGTCGATGGCTATATTCGATACCATTCGTATCGATATCGTACCTGCAATTGCCTGCGGGCGATCAATTGAGTAATAACTTCACTAACTGCTGCAACCGAGACAATTGATTTATTTTAGTTAACGCCACATGTCGTTCGTCGGCAAGCAACAAGCACACATACAAACACATTTCTGTGCATACAAAAGTAATCATATTTGTTTTTTTTTCTATACTTGTTTCATATGTACTCCTATGTCGTAGAGCAACATGTTGCACTCGTAAAACCAATGACTGCTGTGCATGCGACGACACAATGCATAGTTGTATGTGTGCACGTGTAGGTATGTTGTTGGCAGTTGGATTAATTTTGAAATATGGCTAATAGAGAGCGCTTAGGGTAGACCGAAAGCGCCAAGCACAAGAGCCATAACAACAACAATGGATTTTGGACAAAAATGCCAACAACATGAATATGCCAATAAATACTGAAATGCAACAAGAGGCACTAACGGCGTCAGTCACAGCTATGTGGCCACAACGGCACTGGCAGCAACAGCAGCTTAATGCAATAAATACAACAGCAGCAGCCAAGCGACAGGAGGGAAAAAAATGTAGCAATTGTTGTTGCTAAGCTTAGAGTGCAAAAGCGTCTATTAAGGCTACGTTTATTGTGTACTTAAAACGTTTTAGCGTGCAAGTTAAGTGCCGCTAACAGTAATATGCATACCGCAATTGCATTTACTTCACATACGTATATAGGTATGTACGAGTATATAAATAAGTGTCTTTGTATCCGTGTTTAGAGACATTTGTATTGGTGTTTCGACTAAATTTTTGATTTATTAGCAAAATGTGAATATGTAAAATTATATTGAGGCAATGTAAAGAGTGGCACACATTTACACACACCTTTAATATATACGATATATATATATGTAACTGTGTATGCACCAAATTGTTTAATAATGTTGTTCACCGAATTTGCTGTCGTTGTTGCCACTACTGTTGCTGCCACGCTCACACACACGATTTTTGCGGTGAGCAAATAGTAATTTTACAAGCGCAACTTCAAGTGTTTAGCATCGTTCATAAATCATGGAAATTAATTATGTTTCTAACATTTTACGGTAAATTGTGGTTTTAGAGGCTTAGAAAAGCAATATCTGTGGTTGCACTTTGAAAACCTTTGACTATAGGCAAAAGGACAACTGTCGTTGTAGGCAACAAATAAAGTATTTTCATAGTTGTTGGAAGCACACACGAGTATGGGGACATACTAAGATGGAATGTATTTAGTTTGCTACAATATAAAAATATTCAGTGTGGCGGTTACGAAGAGTGTGGTATGAAAGTGGAGTGGCTTGAATCTGACTACTATTGTTCTTTGGTATTGCGGTATTTGAGTCCATACAGCCTTGAACAACCCTTCTGATGCGCATAGAAAGCGGCGCATTCGCGTCCTATGGTAACATACCATCATATATATTTTTGTTCCTCAACCGGCAGATGCCTCGCTGTAGAAGTCAGGCGGCGTCAGCTGATTTTTCGTCGCAGTACTCAGAGTACTGATCGGAACCATCTCATCTATGGTTATCTAAAGACTAGGATGGAGAAGTGTTCGCTTCATGAACTCGCAAAAGCATTATCAACTCTGATTTTCTCAAAGATGTTCCTTCTCCTGTGCGTTTTTTAAAATCTTCTCACCCACTTTTATCGAACTCTTTTTCCATAAAAATTTTAAATTTGCTTTTATCTATACAAATCCTGATAATGCCCATCCTAAGATGTCGCTTTAAGCAACGACTGTGTTGCGTAAAGTGGGCATCCCTAATTTTTGGGTTCAAATTGTTGTTAGATCTCACTCTCATATAGCTATACTCTACAGCTGCCTCAGCTATAACAATATTGTCTACCATGCTAACCACGCAGGTGGAGAAGACAGACTCTGAGCTTCTTAGCCGGGTTAAAAGTGACATTAAAAGCGGCCAGCGCACGTCTATTATCCCTCGAATAAGACGCATGCTTCCATGTGCTTCTATTTTCACAACCGCATTGAGTGATTTAACCTTTGCTGGCTGCATGCGCAAACTTTGTGGGGTCTAGTCAGCAGAGGTCAGAAAGTGATTAATTTCTCCCAGTTTCTTCACTCATTGATCGGATTTTCTTTGTCGGGCAGCAAAGATAGATTCATCAGTTAGATCATAAGCGAACGTAATGTGGTTGGATAGCTTAGGTTGGAGTTACTATCCATTTGAGAGCATCAACACCCTTACGCCTGAGTAGACCCAATGTGCTGCTGACGATCCAGATCCAATCATTAAGTTTTTACTTCATTAGGAATTCTAATAACAATTTTCTTGGTGTCAGTTTAAAGATGAGAAACAGTTACTTCTTTATATGGTTCTAGAAGTTCGAGAAGCTGACTTACTGTAAAAAGATCCCAAACCGTTTCATTTCGCTTTGTCAAGCACATACCATTGACTGAGCTGTTATATGTATATATTTTTAAAATATTCAGGTATTTTGTTTTGGAAATTATACTAATTAGAAAATATATCGTAATTTTAGGATTTCCTGGTAACTTTCGCAGAATTTGCAACACAAAATTGAGCACTCAATTAATTTCTGTGGCTTAATTAAAATATAAATAATATTTGACAAGCTTAAGGTCACATACTAAGGTCAAAAAACAAAATATAAATATTAAAAAATCATATTTTGAATTTGTAGTCCAATTAATAGAAAAATTAAAAAGAAGAAGAGTTCAAAGTAAAACTGTTTGGGAGTTATTTATAAATGAACTTTTAAAATAATTAATCATTGCTTGACCCACTTTTGATATTTTTTAATTTTTATGCAAACACATGTTTTTCGAAACTAAAAAAATGCCTAAAAATGCCTATAAATAGACCAACATGTATGAGGCAAAAACCGATTACGCTCCGCTTTCAACACAACATGTGAAAAATATGTAGGTATATAGAAAAACATATTCGATTAACACAATTTGGCACAGTTCGTTATGCCTCTTCGAGTCTCAAGTCAGTTTCGTCTCTATGAGTCAGCGAATGCGCATAATTGCCTATGGCGTTTTCTCAAATCTTTTTTTTTTGTTTTTTTTTTTTGTGTTTTTCGTATAAATCTCATTATTATAACGGCTTTGTACAACAGCTAGATATGCTGCTGTGTCTATCAAAGTTGTTTGATTTAAATTAATTAAGCAAGCAAATTGATCATAAATTAAGCGTCAGAAATAAAATCATTTAATAAAGTCTCAAATTGAGTTTAAGTTGCTAGCGATTAAGCCTATTTTTATGTTAGTATATGTACAGATATGTAAGATTTTTATGGTTTATGCTATGCAAAGTGGGCGCATTGTAATAGCATTAAAATATTAACTTTCATTAGCCAACTTACCGGTGTGTATACGCTGGTGCGCCTTCAGGTGTGAGCTCTTCGTATAGACTTTTGTACAGCCTGCAAAGAAATGTTTGCAAAAAAATATGAAAAATTTTAGCTTACATGGTTATGAGTATAAAAAATAGGTAAATTAGTATACAAATAGATTTAGTGTGGTAAATTAAAATTAGTTGCGGCTTCACCGTGGGGGAAGCGAGCCCAAAAATACTGTTTACAGAAGTACGGCTACAATGTAAGTAAAGTCAGAAAAAATATGTTGCTGCCATTTGGCAATGGTATGCTGCTGTTACTGTTTGCTTGTTGGAGGTGAGTTGGCAGCCAACACATTGCTTGGTAAATTTTTAATCTTCGTTGCTGCCAATTGTTAATTTTTTTACTCTTTCTAATGCAACTCTGCTGTTCTGCGGAGCAAGTGAATGTACTAGCCTTTGCACTTTGCGGCTTGGCCAAGAAACGCGAGCGAAATAAGCCACTAATAAGCGCTATCGTTCAGACTGAACATTTGTAGTGCAATGCTTTAGATTGTTGTTGTTGGTCTTGTGCTTCATTTGCCGTCTAATGCAATTTATGTGCTGCGGCAGGCAAATTCATAGACGTTGTTGCTACTAGGTGGATCGGTCCTGATTGAAAGATACAGCGAAGACTTGATAAAATGGTTCCAAAAAAAAGGTTAAATAAAACGAAAATTGACATAGAAATAAACTAAATGAAAAAAAAAAATAAGACAAAAAAATAAAATAAAACAAAATAAAATAAAATAAAATATAATAAAATAAAATAAAATAAAATAAAATAAAATAAAATAAAATAAAATAAAATAAAATAAAATAAAATAAAATAAAATAAAATAAAATAAAATAAAATAAAATAAAATAAAATAAAATATAGTTAAATTAAATGAAAAAAAGGGGATGAAGCTGAAGAAATAAATTTAAATAAAATACAGTAAAATGCAAGAAAATAAAATAGATAAAAGCAAAATTAAATAAAAATATATAAATTAATTTAAATAAATAAAATAAAATCCGTTGAAATAGAAAAATTTAGTAAAATATAAGTTGAAATAAAATAAAATTCAAAATTAAAGTAAAATATAATAATATAAAATAATTAAAAAAAAATGCTTTAAGAAAATAAATATATAACTTTTATAAAATATATTCCTATATTGATACACTACTGCATCTCGTCATCACAAAATGCCTCATTGCCGCCCCTTGTATACCTGCCAAGTTTTGTGCAACAAGCAAGCAAACAACCTGTTGCCGCTGACACGCTCTGTGCCATTTGTATGGATTTATTTCAGATTCATTTATTTCCTAGTCATTTGTAGTTTTTGTAAGTATTTTTTTTTTACTGCTTTTTACTTTATTAAACACTTTTTTGCTCATTTGCGGCCACAAGAAATCTAAATTGAGTAAAAATAATGCAAGCATCTTGATACACGTTCGCCTTTGTTGTTGCTTGGAATTTTTTATATTTCCATTGTTGTTGTTATTTAGTTACGAGCATTAGCAAAATGCGCCAAAATAACACAGATTAATGCTGTTATTAGGTCAATTGGGCGGCTCTTTGCCAGCTTACCAGCAGCTTAGTCGCTTGGTGTTCAACACTTGATTGGTAAATAGTTGGCCCACCATTCGCCTGCTCGCTTAGTGGCTTACTGGTCGAGCTTTGGGATTTTGCAAGTACCGTCCTTTGCATGAAAATCTCATTTTTTTCAACTCTACTTTGCGAGTGTAATTTTTCACAAGCCTGATTGCTTGCATTACTTTGCGCCAGAAATGATTTTTCTTCTTGTTGCTGTTGTTGTTATTGCTAATGGCGCTGGCGGTTGCGGTGGCTAACCTGTGCGCCAGCAATGCGAATTTGTAGCTTAACATTTGTTTGGGTTGAGGGCATAAAATGTTGTTATTTGTAAGCTGATGATTTATGGCGGAATGAAAGGAGCAACAACAACAAAATCTAAAATAGTACTAGAAATATTGAGATGAGCAAAAAGAAAACAGCAATGATGAGACCACAATAAATACGGAAGACAAGGCTCAACGAGAAAGTGCAACACATCGGTTGGAAGTTGGATAAATCTAACAAAAAAAATCGTAGAAAAATAAATAAATAAACAACTTTTGAAGAGGACATTAGTGAGAAATGTTGCAAGAAACATATCAACGATCGTCACGTTTATAAGTGGAGGAACGAACGACAAAAAAAAATTAAAGAAGTTTATAAAAAATAAAAAAAATCATTTAAAAGCTCTTTCTCACAGTGTAGCGCCACTGCGAGCTATAACAGACGTACACACGTATATAAGTTTGGTCCATTATGTAACAGGAGCCCATAACTATTAGCCACCATTTATGCCCGACATATGCAAGGCATAATAATATCAAAGTCATGTTAAAAATGTTTCCCCCGTCTCAATAGCCCTCTCTTACCGCCCATCCCTGCGTGCCTTTTACTGCTCTAAATGAATTATAATAATTTCTTGTAGTCCTCGTCCTCGACGACGCCGCCTTGTACTCGTGTGTGGATGAGCATGACCACTTATATTCTGAGCTGACAAGCAGGAACTGTCTGAGACAACGTCGCAACTGATAGGCGCCACTAAATGGCAGAAAGCAAAAAAAAAAACACTAAAAGAAGATTCTGCATACAAATAAAATAAAAAATTTGCAAAAAAATTGAAGTAAGAACAATAAAAAGTTAATAATAAATAGCAGCACAGGACAAAGTATTTTGCAACAGTAAAATAGTAGTGTGCTGCCCGTACACATAAATGCAAATCTGCATATGTAAACATAACCATAAATAAATCGCAACAACATATTGTGTAGGCCATAATAGCTGCAGGCAAAAATATGGCAACAACAGCTTGTATTGTCAGCTAGTTGCGGTCATATGTAAAATTTACATGTACATGTGTATGCACACATGCGTAGTGGATATTAGTATGGGTTTATGTATGAGCGACATATATATATACGCGAGCGTGCAAGTTTGAAGCGCATCAAAGTCCGTGCATTCAAAGGTATTCTCTATTCGGACATTTGACTTGCAAAGAAACACGACTGCAACGTCGTCATTCTTCACTCATACAGGCGGACATGTTGCATAACAACTGCCAACGGTTTTTGCCTAAGCTCCCAGCAGGGGAAAAAACTAGTTGTTAACTAGAATTTAACTAGCATTTTGGTGATGTCCTACGAGCTGACAATTGTCCTACTATGCCTCAGCCTCATATTAGTTTAATACTAGTTCATTTAGGCGTGCTGAGTTTATAATTCCCAAAAAAAAAAAAAAAAAAAATCAAACAAAATTCAGTTTTGCGGCTGAGAGTATCGAACCGAGATCCTTACGCTCCACAGTGAAGACTCTAACCACCAGACTATCGTCATCAAATACGGAATAACGCAATCTGCATACTTCAACAGAACTTTTTCGGAAATGAAACTCAGCTGTGTCATACTCAAAAAAAAAAAAAAAACAACAACATACGAATGCAGGGAATATTTCTGTTCTAATTTCAAGTCTACATGTGGTCCTAACGCAACTTTCAAGGCGCAACTCATACTTTTGGCACAAAAAAACAAGCCATCAGTTATGTTGGGGTGAGAAATTTCAGAAAGAATTAGCCAGGGATGGAATGTTAAAATTTTGCTCTCCCGGTGTTAATGGAACTGGCGATTTGGTTAAATTCAGGAACAATTTTTACTGCCCATGAACTCACCGAATGGTATGTCTTGTTTTTGTTGTTGGGCGAAGTTTGCCATTATTGTTTCTCGAATAATTGCAAAAGCTGAGTGGTTAGAGATTCTCGCCGTTAGGCAAGATTTTCAATATTTGAACCCCAATGTAAGCATATATCTGCATAATTATTTTCTCGGAGCAGATAATTAAACTGGAATAAATGAACTAGTATTTAACTAGTAGGAAGCTAATGCATATTTGAACGAATGACATTTCTCAAGGCGTTGGCATGCTAAAAATGTTATTTGCTTATACCTCTGCCTAGATCTTTATCTAAAGATAGAGATGAAGATGAACATAAAAGTTATTGTAATAGTTTAAAATGGAAACAGTTATTAAAAAAACGATGTTCTTGCATATGTATATGAATAAATGCAGAAACATTCATACGCATCTATAAGCCACAATGCAAAAGCTCGAATAACCGAAATCAATGAGCCAGCGCCGCAAGTTATGCAACAGCTTACGCTCCTCGCATAAACAACTAGTATAACACTAGTTTGTGTTGAGCCAGTGTGGTCTCTTCATCTTAGCAGATTTAATGAGTTAATTTTTGTTTCACTTTTTACCTGCAGGCTTTTGTTCAAATCGTTCGTTGAAGATAAAAAATTTTAGTTGTAACTTTAGTTGTAAAATGATTTTAGGACTAAAACCTTTTCTATCTAAAATATGTGTAGTTCTAAATATTACTTTCTTCACATTAGATCAAGGCATTGCACGAGACTAAGTGCCATTGTCCCAACTTCTGTGGGACTTGATGTTTTTTCAACAAATGGAGAGACTTACGGCTTATACTAAGCCGCCTACGAACGGCTGATGGCTTTTCATATGAGCTCGGGCCTTCCGAATGTCAGTACACAATGCGAACCACTCGGCTACCGCGGTCGAGTTTTTAAACTGTTTATCCACGTTTTTCTATTTCAATTCAATGGAGGGTGAAATACAATATCAGTCTTACTTGAGAAGAGCTCCATACATAATAACAGAATTGTGCCACTTAGGAAGTCGCTCGCAATAAAACTTGTTATTTTGCAGTAACTAAGTTTCTGCGCCTGTTTTTTTTTCAATAATGCGAGTTATCTGAAATATTTCTGCAAACGGTAATGCTTACATATATTTCCTAAAAGCTTTTGTATTGTATCTTAAAAGCTTTTAATTTATCAGTTGATTAACTTGTTTATTTCGCCAACTGTCACGCAAGTAGTCACAGTTTTCAATAAAATCTATATAGTATTTAAATATATGTATATATGTACATGCATGTCCATTTATTATTAAGCTAAACAAGATAGGAGGTCCACTAATCG